GATGTAAGATCAAATTGAGCTGCAAGTGTGCTCCCTCTCTGCCTTTCATGCTGCTTCAATATCACGGCGTGAAAAAACAAAGAAGGCAAAGACTGAGGGAAATCTGAAGCGTTCTGCCACTCAACATCCCCCATTCCCAAACAACAGCGTCTCACTGCCACTACAAATACATTAGAAATCAATTATTTATGGAACAGAGTCAGGGCCTCTTTAATCTTTTCTTTTTATCCAATTAAATTGTCTAACCATTCTAAGCCTCTATAGCTCACAGGGAATGCGCTTTTAAAAAAAAAAAAAAAAAGAAGAAGAAAAGAGTTTTTCTTCAGTCCTTCTTTTGACTTTCGATGTAACAGAGAAGAGACACTTCTGAGAGTTAAAGAATGAAAGGAAAGAAAGTGAGTAAAGTGTAAATGAACTCCCCCTCCCGCCCTGTCACCGTTGGATTGGTTCTACAGGAACTATTTGAAGTTTTGATATTAAGACTCTGGTTCCATTCCCCGCGCAAAGGGACGCTGGGGAGCGGTGAGGCCTTTCATGATTCCTTCATGCCCAGCTGAAATAGTTCGAAAGTATTTGGGATCATCTCCACGGGGGTAAATACGATGTTGCTTCAATTGCTGTCCTGTATTATTCAAGAAGTCAATTGAAGTAGTGTCTCAAAATTGAAAATGCTTACTTCTGATGCCGACGTGTGAAATTATTGATGTGAAGCATTGTAAAACACTCGGCACGTCTCTCTATTATCATACAGTAAGACTGTTAGAGGGGGAAAAAAGGCTTCACATTTTCACACTTTGTGGAATCGTTTTCATACAACACCGTGAAACACACATTTTAATTGATTTATTGTTTCATTCATGAAGCAAAGATGACAAACCAGTTCTCCAGTTCCACCTTCTCCAACGTGAAAATTATGTTGTATAATAATATAAAGAAAGACAGATAACTGAATGAAAATAAAAATGAAACAATTGGTCGATTGACAAAAAATTAATCTGCAACAATTTCGATAATCAATTAATTGCTCAAGTCAAGATTCTCAGGTTTTAACTTCTCTAATGTGAGAATTTGCTGCTTCTCTGGGTGAAGTTGACTCTTGTCATGAAGACGTCACCGTGTGCCCTGGAAACTCTGATGCCATTACTCACTCTTCTCTTACATCTTAAAGACAGAACAATTTAATCAGCCAGAGTCGTTTATAATGAAACTCTTAAGGCCACTTTAGTTAGTTACACCTGTACAGTTAAACACATATGAGGACATTAATTTAAAGTAAAGCAAAAGATGTTTCCCCACATGTGAGATCTTTCTCCTACGAACATGTCGGCTTCAGGTCTTTTTTTTCACCCTTGTCATACGTTCATTTATTAATCCAGTAAATAACCGATCGATGATAAAGGATCGTTGTTAGTTGCAGCAATAAATGAAAGTAATCACAGTCCGCAGCCTTTATTTTAAATCCTGAAACATAGTGCAACTGATTGAATCTTGTCCGATCACATGTTATATTAATAATCTCTGACGTATACGACACATACACGGTATCCTCTGTATCCCCATTGGAGCCCATCACCGCCAACGCTCGGCAGCAGAGATCATAGTGTCATGTCTGACGTGACATACGCTGTGTAACGACATGTCATGTTAACCACGTTTAACTCTCAGCACCTTTTTAAACCCTTCATCTTATTATTTAACAGTGTTTAACATTTTGGGACATTTAGAGGTGGAGGAGCAAACAGCTGCAACCAGCCTCAGATCTGCTGCTCTTTGTTTCAGGATGGCGTGTGTGTGTGTGTGTGTGTGTCTGTGTGTGTGTGTGTGTGTGTGTGCGTGTGTGTGTGTCTGTGTCTGTGTCTGTGTGTGTGTGTGTGTGTGTGTGTGTGTCTGTGTGTCTGTGTGTGTGTGTGTGTGTCTGTGTGTGTGTGTGTGTGTGTCTGTGTGTGTGTGTGTGTGTGTGTGTGTGTGTGTGTGTGTGCTGCTGATTTGTACACGCAGCATGGCATGACATGTCTGTGGGTATGCATACAGTATATGATACATGTGTCTATGTTTGTATATATTCCTCTACATGTGTGGCGTGTCTGGCTCAAAGAGATACTTTTTTCATTGTGTGTGCATGTGTGTGTGTGCGTGTGTGTGTGTGTGTGCATGTGTGTGCATGTGTGTGCGTGTGTGTTGGGGTAAAACTGTGTACACTGTAAGCACAGTCGCGCACAAATAGCTCCTGAGGGCCCCTGCGATCACAGACTGCCAAAAGGAAAAGGATTTCCGAGAGGTTTCCTTCTCGCTATTTAAAGTGGGAGCCCTGTGGGACATGTCTGGCATTCTCATCCACTCACTGAAGATGGCCTGTGATCTGAAGCCACTAACAGGCTCAGCGTGCTCCGTCTCTGTCTCTCGCTCACTCTCTCTCCCTTTCTCTTTCCCTCTGGCTCTCTGAAGTGATTACCCTGCTTGTGATTCCACTGACACCCACATGTCCCCCCGAGACGTGCCTTCGCTAGTTTGTTTAATCTGCCTCCCTGTACAGTAGGTAACACAGCCATAATTGAGGTGTGGATGGAGCTGTGCGAGCAGATGAAACCGATACCGGGTTTTATGAAAACTTGCGTGCGCTATTGAGTCGACGTGGATGACGGCAGATGTTAAATTAATGTACGAAATGTCTTCAACGGCAACCCTTTGTTTTTCTAAATGTCTCCCCAGTCAATAAACGGCGACTCTCGTCATAATAAAAGAAAAAGTCACAAATATCAGCGCGCCGATGAGGATTTCCAAATGTTGCTGGAAAAGTTGTGGCTCCAGTCATTCTTTAAGCAACTTCTCTCAGTTTCCAGTGAAGCTGCTGATAAGATAATGAGTTATCTGAGATTAGAATACCATTAGCGAGCCTCGCAGTCAAGCAGATATTTGATCTCAACAACATATGACTTCCAAAGTTGCGCTGATACCTGAGACAGATTCCGCTTTACACTCCGTTTGAATTTTTTGATATGAAAACAGTAAGTGGAACTGTGAAAATGCAAGCATCAGATACTCTATCTCCCCCGGTTAGTGTCTCGCCTCTGTCTGTAACACGCTTGAACCGCTCTGTTCAGAACATACAGAGTGTCAATCATCGCCAAAATCAGCCTTTAGATGAAGCAAAAAATGAAAAGGGAACAAAAAAAATGATCCATAGAACTGAACTTGAATTAATTAAATATACTATATCATACTCCCTCAGAGAGATTGCATCTGTCCTCAGATGTGTAAAAAATAAAACATTCTCAGATATCTTTTTAAACCCTATTATTGTAAGATACCAGTAATTAAATTGACAGTGTTATTAATTGGGTTGAAGATAACTTGCATTGAGTCGAGGACATCTTAAACTCAATTAAAGATATCTCCAACTCAATTAAAGATATCCAAATGCCATGTCCCGCAATATGCAATCAGGCTCTTCCTGGCGCAATAGTATCAGTTCACTTGTGCCCCTTTTACAAAGACTTAGTTGTTCTTCTAAAGTTTTCTTTTTATCATTTAAAGCTTGACTTTTTTGAAATAGATGTCACACTTTGGTGATGTCTATAGCCTTTTTAATGTGGCATAATTATAGTATTTAATCCTTCCTTATCCAGTGTTTGAAATAGAAATGAAGATTAGACACTTCTGACATCAGGAAATGAGGCATTTAAAGGGATAGTTCATCCCTTTTTGGGGGGGGGGGGGCAGCAGTTCACTCTGTGGATCCTGTGGTCGAGCAGTCCGAGCGAGACAGACAGACAGACAGACAGACAGACAGACAGACAGACAGACAGACAGACGGACGTGAACATTAGTAAATGGAGAAAGGAGATTTAACTCAGAATAGCACTAAAAATGAATATGCACTTTACACAACACGATTTAAACCTTTTATTCTATTATTTCTGATGCTTATTTTGCCTAAATAAAACATCAATCAACAGCAAGTTGATACTAACAATCAATTAAACATGAGTCATTTATAAAGAAAGTTTCAGCTTCTCAAATATGAAGATTTCCTGTTTTTTTTTTTTCTTTATTTATTGTAAATTAATTACTTTTGGGTTTTGGGCGTCTGATTGGACAGAACAAGCAACTGAACGATGTCACATTGGACTTGGAGAACTTCAGCATCTCCTGCAACTTTTTTTTGTTTTTTTTTGTTGACAAGTTCAACTGAGCAATAAAATGAAGTTCAGGAATAGAGTTTCTCTCTGGGAGGAAACTCCATCTTCAGTCTTCAGTTTTCTTTAACGTAGAAACACAGGAGTCTCCTGGATAATTGAACAACCGTACAGGTTTATGTTACTGACAGCAGTTTAAATTATTTCAACTCCGTTTAAAAAAAAAAACAAAACAAGAAACACAGGTTTAAATGTTCAGATGACAGAGTGGATGGGACTTTGGGAGCAAGGCCTGAAGTAGCTCGTTACACTTTGCGTCTCTGTGACTGATGAAAATCAAAATGATCATTAATTGCAGCCCGACTCGGTTCTTCTCTTTGTATCATTCAGGTTCATTCAAAGAGCAAAATAGTTCCAGGATAACGTATGTGAGATCTTTGCCCCTGTTTTTTATTTTTAGAGATGTTTTAGAGAGACGTTCATGTGTACTGTATTTATCTGATGACGAGGCCCGTTTCCTTTGACCCGGTCGGGCTTCAGCTGCTGTGTGTCACCGTGGTCCTAAAAATGTTGAGGGAGATTTGCTGCGCTGTGGGATGCTTCTCATCAGGTCGAGCTGTTTGTTATCACTGGAGCATCCAGCAGCCGGTTCATGCAAATAGAGTCGCGCTTCACAGACCTTCCTCACAATAATTTACATGATTGGATGATTCGTCTGGACCTTGGCAATATTTTCAGTGAGCGGAGTGTGACTGTTGGTTTCCTGGTAGATGCTATCTGACCTTAAATATCTGTGGATTTATAGTGAATCTGGGCTCAGCCTCCCCCTCCTCTCCCCCTCCTCTCCTCTCCTCCTCTCCCCAGGGCGCTGTGCCAGCTGTGGAGAGAACGTGGTGGGTGAGGGCACCGGCTGCACTGCCATGGACCAGGTCTTCCATGTCGACTGCTTCGTCTGCATGACCTGCAGCACCAAGCTGCGTGGCAAGCCCTTCTACGCTGTGGAGAAGAAGGCATACTGCGAGCCTTGCTATATTGTAAGTAACTTCTGCCCTTTCGAATCCACCTGCCTCTCCCCCATGTTTAAAGCTCACTCTGGTTATTTATGTGTCCGTGGGGGCGGGCACACCGGTAGCTCTGTGCCTGCAATGTCCATATATTTTCACTTCAGGCAACCACATTTCATTTCATCAAGGGTGCCAGGCTCACCACACACTTCCTCATCTCCTCCTTAGTCCTTGGTTCTGTTTTGTTTTTCGCTCCCTTGGTGAAACTGTCGTTAGTGATTTCCTCCAGTTACACAACTTTAAATGACTGATGATAAATGAGTTTGTAGACGTGAGGATCCCAATGCGATACATACTGGAATTAACAAAGTTGGCCTTGTGACATGTTCAGTGTTGAATGTGTTAGCAGACCATATTAACAATGGATCAAATGTGAAAGCAGTTGCTCATGTCGATGCTTGCATGTCTTTGATTTCCTTGTTTTGGTTTTACAACCTGCAGCTTTACTCTTTTGTTTAGTGGAAACCCACTGCAACAGTAAGTGACAGACAGACGATGTTAGCAATTAGCTAAATATCTAACATCTATTAACATTTAGCAGCTACACGGTCAGATATTATTCTCACAAGTTGGTGGAGTGAACACTGGACCGAAACACGACTCGTAAAAATCATAATGTTGATCCGTGACTGCTAGTTGCTAACACTTTAGCCATGTTGACTTTGAGACAATAAGGTGACGATATGTCGTATAATTAATTGATTATGTTGCGCTTTTCTAGTCTCATCATCCACTCAATGCCACTTTACAATGGAAGCCACATTCAGCCATTCACAAAGTTCCTCCATCGTAGACTTACAGCCCTTTCTCTCTCGACCATATTCACACACCTAATACACCCCGGGGGGCAATTTGGGGTTCAGTATCTTGCCCCGTGACACTTCAAAATGCAGACGTGAGGGGCCGGGAATCAAACCACCAACCCTCCAGTAAGTGGACGACCCGTCCTACCTCTTGACGCCGATAGTGTGGTGTTTACAGCTGTCCAAAAACATCAATTCATGTTCGACTTAACGTTGGAGACACTTGAAATGTTGTTGACAGTGACGTCAACGCCGAATGTTGAGAGCAGCACAGCTTCAGATTTTTACCTTGGCTGTCTGTTGACTGCTCACCTCTAACTTTTCGTAGCCCAGGATATATATTGATAGACTTGTCATTTGTTCTCCCTGAATAATGATATCAGAGAAGCGTTCATTGATTGTCTTCTAATGGAGGATTTCCAGATATCTCTTCCTTGGTGAATTAGATCACGATTATAAGAACGATGTTTTCACAAGAGCTGATGCACAGCTATCTGGAGTTACAGCTGATGAGCAGTCAGATATGGTTTAAACGCACTTGATTTATTAAATTGGTGTCAAAATCATGTTAGTATATAACATGGTGATAATTCTCTGTGTGGATCAGATAAAGCAGGAGATTTTTTTGGTGTCTTATTCCTGCTATTCATTGTTTGATTTTCTGTCTCCTCTAAAATCTACAGTAGGTAACAAACAGAAAACAGCTTCTTTTTTTTTTTTTTTTATTCCTTCTGTGACCTGTTTTCCTGTCACTATGTTGCGCAACACATATGAAAGTATTTCCTGGCACAATATTGCCAGGAAAGACACATCATCTTACAACACCACAATGAAATCATTTTTGCAGAAGTGTGTCCCCTTGTTCAGTTTCATTAGAATATGGTTCAGTGCTGGAAATGACAGGAGCACGTTTCCAAGTGTCAGCAATATCATGGGTAAGTTTGTAGGTCATTCCTGGAAGCTGAGACAGGAAGAAGCTGTGCAACACAATGAGCCTTTACAATGGAAATTCTGGGTAACAGCTTTTAACTTTGACTTGTTTTATTTCAAAATAAGTTTGTCATACTATTGGATTTAGGTTGCGCAGTTTTTAAAGGTCGCTGTTTATCTATTACTTTAAGCTCATTATTTCAAGGTCCCATATAGTCTAAAGGTAGATGTCCATGTGTAGTGTGATTATAATGCAGGTGTAGGTTCTATATTAATACTGTGAAAGTATCAAAGCCTCAGTCCACAGAGAAATGCACAAAGCCTATGTTCAGAAACTGAGCCTTAAAACCAGCCGTCAGGACTTCCTGTAACTTTGTGATGTCACAACAAAGCAGTCACAGCTCTCAACCATGCCCAAGCCCCGCCCACCTGCACCCACTATCCAAACCTTTACAGGATTTGGTTTCTCTAAGTGTTTTACCTGAAATCTGCTATATTTTTATTAGATTACTCAGAAAACAGTCAGCCAATCAGAAGAGAGGCTCAGAGCCTCCTCTCTCTCTTCTGATTGGCTCACTGACCTGTTGTTACTAGAGCTCCAGAGAGAAGCCTGAGAGAGGAGATGTAAAACTACACTGAGATGGTTTTTGTTTCTTAAAACCACAAATATATCTTCTTCTTCTTCTTCTTCTTCAAAATAAAACACAAGAAAAGTGTAAAATATGGGACCTTTAAAACTTGCATGAGGCAGAGGAAATGTTATAAGTAAGACCCCTGATGGGAAAACTAGATTTAACTTTAATATCCCTGGCCCATACCTGCAGCTTGTGTACAGTAAGTTTTTTTTCTGCAGGGCCCCTGAGACAGATAGAAGCCACACTAAAAGAAAAGCTGTCAGGTAGTTATTTGCCGAGGAAACACAAACGTTCCACTTTCCAGATTGTGGAAAAGAGAGTTTTAAGGAGAAATAATTGGGCTTGTACAAGCATCAGTGCAGCTCGCAGCTCGCTAGTTAATGAGGAGGTTAAAGCTTTGTTTTTGGTAGATCAGGGATAAAGCATCTTGATGACCAGGGCAGTTCAAAGAATAACAAGTTGTCGTAAAGAAATTAATTAGAACACACACTGATGTGGTTGATTCCTCTGGCACGGCACGTATTAACACATACGTACAGTTCCTTTACATCACTTGCAGGAAATGGCTTGATGTGCACTTTACCAGTAAAGTCTCAAAAGCTGAGCCACATGACGTTTAAACCAGTGGCAGGCCCATCTCTTAAATCATCCCTTTTCAGAGGCACTCACTGTGATTGTAGTTGTCTTGTCTGGAAGTTCTCCAACTCTGATACATGCGCTAAAGAGGAATGGGATAATTTAAGAACTTTATTTATGCATTTCATCAGCATAAATGTTCTTCTGGCACAAGATCAAAAGGATGGGGGAAATCTGAATTTCTTAATGAAAGTAATTTCTTCTTCTTTTATTCCCATCCTCAGGGTCATACGCCTCTGTACGATTAGAAAATGAACGTGAGAGTTGAGTCTCTGAAGAGAAATGTCATATCCCAGAGAGGAAGACGAAAAACTTCAAGTCAGCCTCCAAGTCAGTCAGTCTAGGAATCTCTGAGAGCAAAACGAATGTTAATGATGCTCCGTCAGTGTGTTTGTGACTGTAGATTCCCACACTGTTATATCTCCAGCTTATTAAACCCGTTGTAACCAGCTGTTTACAGAAATTAAGAATTGCACTTCCATAAGGTTGGTGGAGCCAGAGCAGAGACTGCAACTGAATAATATGAGTTTTAGTGAATAAAATGTTGTGATTTGACTTAAATGTCGACTTTGCCCAGTTTTGGGAGAAACCCTTGTTCAAATTCAAGTGTAAGATGAGAACTTCAGTGTCACTTTCATGTCTGTGAGCTAAATATTAAGCTAGAGCCTGCAGTTGGTTAGCTTAGCTTAGCATAAAGACTGGAAGCAGGGGGAAACAGCTAGCTGTGTCCAAAGGTGGGAGGGAAAAACTGCAATTGTCAAAATCAAATCAAAGCAGCAGAGCCTGAGACATTTTGTTCAAGCACCAGAAAGCCTACATTTCCCATGATGCAGCTTAATAGTGCACTTTGTGAAAGCCCTTTTTGCCTCGTAAATATCCATGTCTTTCAAACTCATTGTATTTGCTGATAAAGAATGAGTCAAAAGCACATTTTAAAAAAACTATACAACAGATGAGCAGTTTTTATTTCCATCCTATATGTTATGTACTCCAAGGGTGAAATTAATTTTCCTCACTCCCTCTGGCAGTCTATTGCATTTGATGAGGAATACCTCACAGGTATAACAGGTGCCTGCGGAAACTTACTGTTTGTACAATATTATGCAAAAACCCATTTATCCCTTTGCCAGGAATTGTAGGAATACATTTTGCATGCCACGGTGATTGCCATCCAATAAAGTTTTCTGCCATGTATCAGAGCAGGCGATCAGCATCCGCTTTATCTAGGCTGAGACTTTACATATTCTGTGGAACAGTGCTGGCGTTTGTATCTGCAAGATCCATCTCTTCCGCTGGGTGATTTGCCTCATTCAAACTGTTTGTCTAGATATTACTGATTCCTTTTCAGTAATGTGCAGGAACTCACCCACATCTGTTATCGTCACCCGTCTACTCTCTGATTTTTACAACCTGCTATCTCCCAGTCTAACCAACCTCAGTCACACCACTTGTCCACGAATTGCAGGGCAGCAATCATCCTTTTGTCCTCGGCACTTCCGCGGTTTGCCTCCACAGAGGACTTATCGCTGCCTATTTGAATACACAGTGATGGCGATAAACTCTACAGCCGCCCAATTAATGTCTCGTTTTGCATGGAGTCATTCGTAATCATGTTAATGTGACAACATCGAGTTGCCATTGGGTTTTTGGGGGGGGGGGTTTTGTTTTTGTGTGTGTGCGTGTGTCTCAGCCTGAGGTGTCCCACAACTTCCCCTGTTCCATGTTTGCACAGATGATAAGGCTGAAAGTGTGAGTGTGAGTGCAAACACCACCCAGAGAGCTGTCCATCATAGTTAACGAGACACAGCAGTTGCAGTAGGTGTTGCAGTGCCACTAAGTGTTTTACAAGAAGGCAAAAATTCGATTCAAAGTATTTCAGACTGTTTTTTTGTTTTCTGCAAACTAGAACAAATTACTCACAGGACATCTGGAAAGTCACAAAGCCGGGTCGGAGAGAAACCCAGCC